CTGGTCTCAACTCCTGACCTCAGGTGATCCACCCACCTTGGCCTCCCAAAGTGCTGGGATTAGAGGTGTGAGCCGCCACGCCCTGCCTAAACTGTACTTTATAATGCCCATCTGCACTCAAGTGTTTCCACATATAAGATTCTAAGCCTTTTTATACCTTAAGAATCTTTTACACGGGAAACATTCTATCCCAGTGGCACAAAACAACTGGAATCACATCTAACATATCTTTATTTTTTACATTACTGATTTTAACCCACTCCTTTGTACTTACACATTTTTCCATTTCTAAACCATCCTTAAAGAAAATCATATATGGGGTCACACCATCTTCACGGTAGTCCAATAGAGCAACCATGCCATCTGGATTCATGTTTTCACCAATAAAGAACTTGGGAAACAAACAAAATACCTAGAATTAGACCATTACAAACAAATACATGCCATTCTAAATTAACTACAGTACAAAATCAGGAGAATTCCAGTATCCAAAAGCTCTGATACTCACTTACCATAATCATTTGTTCACTCAATTAGGCACCTTAATAGCGACCTAAATAAGAGTACAAAGCAATACAGGAACACTAGGCTTTATGGAAACCTTTACTTTCTCAGACCCTAAAGTGTGCTTATATAGTCAAGCACAATTGCAACATAAGGCTGTCAGTAACGGAATATATCATACAGTTTGGAAGCATGTTATGGCCAAGGGATGCATGAAGTTGGATAATTAGAGGTAAACGAAAGCCACTGACATTTTCCAGAAGTAGAACAAGTTCAGATACATCAGGAGGACCAGTAGCAATAAGACACATTAGAACTGTAAACAGAAAGCTGAACACTCAGGAAGTTAAGCAATTTTTGAGGAGGAAGAAATGTCATCTGGGAAAGAAGTTTTCCATCAGAAGGCAGGATTTGAAAACACCTGAGAGCTGAGAAAGCTACTTTCTACACCTGGAATACTAGTATAGAATTGAAATTAATGAACTTAATTTTTGCTCTTGCAGTTAATTGTACAATCCTTTGATCCAAATACTTAAGGCATTTACCTGGTAGTTTTTGAAATTAGCAAGGATGTGCTTGATTTGTTCTGCAGCCCCTGTCATAAAAGGTTTTACTCTTTCTGGTCTCTGTTCTTCAAGTTTGCCTTTGATTCTAAAACAACATTTCATTAACTGGTTAAATTATTGAATTTTCAGTAAAATCAATTTTTAAACTAAAAAAATACCCAAGCTTAAAAAAAATAAAAACATTGAAAAAGGCAACCAGCTGTTAAGAAATTACTAATTCACAGCTGGGCGCGGTGGCTCAAGCCTGTAATCCCAGCACCTGTTCACATAAGTTATCTTTCAAGAATGTTAACATTTCTGACATTTCTTGACTATTTTCAAAGAACTATTCTAACTCTAAACGGAACCAGACTGCAGGCTTCAGTATGCTCACAAAGAAAAGCAACCACTCTTGTCACTGAACTCATTAATAAAAAAGGCAAGTATATTCACTGCTCAAAAGAACCTCAAAAGTTACCCCATCTTTAAATCCCTTAAGATTCTAGACATCAGCTAGGTGCTGCCAGTTATCACTTACGATTTCATGTAATCTTTGATGTACTTCTTGTAGGCTTCTTTTGTGAAACTTGTTTCCTGCAGGTGATGGTTCATGACAATATCGACACCAGTGATTACTGTGCTTTCGGTACCTTCGCCCTCGGGGCCTTCTGCGGAGGCATTTCCACCAATGAGCGAGTCATCAATGTTACCTTCTGTCCTACTGACCATCTGCATTAACAAAAGGCAGTATAGTTGCAAAACATACGAACGCATCTTCAAAGCACCTTCCACACCAATACTTAAGAAACATTCTTAGCTCTTGATGAAAATCAAAAAAGCACCATTTTGGGAATAAAGTTGTGACCTGTGGATTTCCCGAAACGACCTAACTTAAAAAAAGAGTTGTCCGTTGCTGGCCAGAACAAAATGGGATCATTAAAAAGTTGTTTCCAGTTGCGGGCATCGAGTGCCTCGAGTTGGTAAGTAAGGGCAGGGTAAACACGAAAGGGATTGGGCTCCTAAACCGGAGACAGCGTGTCCCGGACAACCCCGGGAGGAGGATGGGCGCCGAGGCGGCGGGCCTATTTCCAGGCTCAGCTCCACCTCCAGTTTTCTAGAAAAACCCGAGCCCGGAAAGAGCGTCTCCTCCGCCAGGAGGCGGCGGGGAGGATTGCACAACCTCAGGCGGGGGAGCTGCGGAAACCCGAGCCTGCCCGGCGCGGCCCGCCCCGACCTCCCCCACGCGCAGGCCCGACCGACTCACCTTCCCCTCCACCTCCAGGCACAGCCCGTCCGCGATCTCCCGGATCTTGTAGATGTCGGAGAACATCTCATCATCTGTCGAACACACAGAGTCGCCCGTCACCGCAGGCCCCGAGCCGGCGCCGCCATTTCCCGCATTTCCCGCGCCGGCGGCCGCACGCGGCGTCCACCCCTCGCGAGGGCTCCAGAGCCGAGCGCGAGCCCCAGTATCAATCCCTGCGCACTCGGTTAAGGTCGCCGGCATCCCCTAGGCCCGGACGGCTGCGCTTTCCCCACCCCCCCACCCGCACCCAAGGACCCCGTGTGCGCCAGTAAGGGTACTGCAGGGAGGACTCACGGCTGATGAGATCCCGGTAGATAATCATGATGGTGGCTGACGGGAGAGGACGGCGGCGCTAGCTTAGCAGGAGCCCGAAGCTCGGAGCGAGCGCTGTGCAGCCGGAGCGGCGCTAGGGGGGAGGGGGGAGCGGGCGGAAAAGGCCGACTCAGCCGCTCCCCAACCTCATATAGAGGGCACGTCTCTTACGTCATCGTTCGCTGCGCCTCCGGAAGCGACGCAGCGGTGACGTGGCACGCAGAGCCGCGCGGGGGCGGGGCCACAGCGGCGGCGAGTTGGGGAAGCGAGCATCCGGGGACCTTAGGTGGAGACACAAGACTGTTCCACTGGGCACGCGAGGTGGTGGGGATGGGGCCGGGGAGGTGCGCGCGCAGCCGGGGAGGAGGTAAGCTCTCGGGCACTCCCGAGCCATGGGTGGGCGGAGCAGGGGAAGTGGGGTGTGATAGGCCCGGGCCCTCCCCACCCACGGGGCCATCCGGAGAGGTGCTGGGGCCTGGGTGGGGCTTAGATGAAATCTCTTTAAATTTTCTCCCTACGCCTCGTTCAGCCTAGGTTCCACCGTTTTCTGGGAACCAGAGTTTCAACAGATGTAGGGGAACATTTCGTTTAGGGAGGGTTATGCTCTTTGGCCTGGCGGAGACCTCGGAGCTGCCCAGGGCCTCAGAACTTTTCAGCCTCTGCCCCGGGGCCGCCCCAGCTGGAGTTTTCGGATGCCTTTGTTGGGGCACAGCTGAGTCTGGGTAGTGGGACCCAAGTCATCCCGCTCGGGCCCTGGGGAATAATTGTGAAGGCGCAGGGTCTGTGGGAGGGGACTTGGGGAGAAGGGAAGCTGTCACGGGAGATTGCACAAGGTTTCCATGTGTTCCAGTTTTGCCCCACAATTGAAAGCTTGTGGCATTCTGTGGCGGACAGCTACAGAGCTAACTCTTCCCTTTACTGTTTCGCACTTGGTCTTGGAAAAGTACGTTGTCACTTTAAGATGAAGTTGAGGCCGGGCGCGGTGGCTCAAGCCTGTAATCCCAGCACTTTGGGAGGCCGAGGCGGGTGGATCACGAGGTCAAGAGATCGAGACCATCCTGGTCAACATGGTGAAACCCCGTCTCTACTAAAAATACAAAAAATTATCTCGGCATGGTGGTGCGTGCCTGTAATCCCAGCTACTCAGGAGGCTGAGGCAGGAGAATTGCCTGAACCCAGGAGGCGGAGGTTGCGGTGAGCCGAGATCGCGCCATTGCACTCCAGCCTGGGTAACAAGAGCGAAACTCCGTCTCAAAAAAAAAAAAAAAGATGAAGTTGAAATTTTATCCCTGGTGCTAGAGGGTCAAACAAAGGGAGTTTCTCACCTGCCCCACCTTTCTTCCAAGGAGTTTACACCCAATTACTAAGTATTAAAACAAAACAGGCCCAGCATGGTAGCTCATGCCTGTAATCCCAGCACTTTGGGAGGCAACTACTGAAACCTGTCTCTACGCAGAAACAAAATTTTTAAATTAACTGGTGCGGTGATGCCTGCCTGTAATACCAGCTATTAGGGAGGCTGAGCTCGGAGGATCGCTTGAGTCCGGGAGTTGGAGGTTACACTGAGCTATGATTGCACCGCTGCGCTCCAGCCTGGATGATAGAGCAAGACTGGCTCAAAAACAAAACATAACTTCCTTATTTGGTCGCATCCTCACGTCTTTGGCATAAGGCAAAGATGTATGCCAGTATGAAGTGTGAAAGCTTGTTCCATTTCACAGGTATTTTGGGCTCTGTATTCCTTAGAACTAGGATTTGCACTGAGGTCCCAATTGTGAACAAGTTCGATCCAGTCTTACTCTCATAAAAGTGTTCATTCTAGTAAACTCAAAGCATCAGGCAATTATAATACATCAACAGTTGTTCATAAAGCCAATAATATAGCATTTAGCTGACTAAGAATGCAACCCTTGGGAAAGAGCAGGACACAGGATGGCGATTGGAATGATGGAGAAGTCAAATGGAAGAGCCAAGAAATGGACCTCCTTAAGATACGAATCTTGGATGGAAAACTCCAGAGGACATTGGGCGACTGGGAGGAAGCTAAAAATGGGATCTGAAAATAAATGGATATCTTCTGACACATGGTCGGTGAAGGCTGTCTGAAACCTCTTATTTATGGAATGAATGAGATGATTATCACACATTAATATTGTGTGAACATATCTTTTTCCTGATGTAGCACAGTATAATTATTTTCCTCAGTTTTAATATTTCCAAACTATTCAGAAATACTGTCATTGATCAATGCAGTACCCTCAAACATTACTCTCAACTATCCAGTCTCATATTAAGGTCAAAACATTTCTTCAAGTTTTTTTTTTTTTTAATTATTTTTTCCAAGCCAAACTGTATCCACCTTTATTAAAGATACTTTCCATAAACAATCATGGTATTTCAGGCAGGACATGGGCAGACAATCGTTAACAGTATACAACAACTTTCAAACTCCCTTCTTTGATAGACTACCAAAAATCAGAAAGCCACTATAAAACCCAATGAAATCTTCATCTGATGCTCTGAACAGGGAAAGTTTAGAGTGAAGGTTGACATTTCACATTTAGCATGTTGTTTAACAACTTTTCATGAGCCGACCCTGACTTTCAGGAAGTGAAATGAAAATGGCAGAATTTATCTGAAGAGCCACAATCTAGAAATGGAATCACTGCTCTTTTGACAGGTGCCATCTCAGTGGCATCACTGGCAAGTCCAGATTGCCTGACCCACTGGTAACCAATGACTGGGGGGTCAGGTCCCAACAGATGTCTGGGCTTAAGGGAGCTAAGTCTATGCTGAAAGACGGAAAGGGAGAAGAGGACATAAAAATGAATTTGTTTTTCCATACCACAAGGCTTTTGTGTGCCAAGGGGTCCATGTGTGTCAAAGTCAGGGAATCCCTCCTCCTGGGAGCCAAGAGGAAGTCTCTCAAAACTGGAAGGATAAGGCGTTTCCCCACATCAATCCAGCTTTGGAGACATTCTATTAGTGACATATACCCCTTCCCCCAAAACAACAATGAAGTGTTCTGTGTGCTAACAACATAGCTTAAAAAAAAAAAAGTTAAACAAAATTCTGCATTTTTATAAAACTTGATAAAAAATAGTATTTCAAACTGTACAGTCACCAGAAGTACACAGTTATCAAAAATACACACCCTTCACTTGGCATCTCCAGCACCGTCGGCCTTCTGTGCCCGGTCTGTTTTGGCCTCTCCATTTTCTGCAGGGTTATTCCCTTCCTTGCCAGCATCAGCTTTTCCCTTTTTCCCTTTGGGTACCTTCTCTCCTTTCTTTGCAAGGGCCTTTTTAGGCTTGGGCTCTGGCTTTGGAAGAGCAGGTTTAGCAGACAACCTCTCGGATCTTCTCTGTGGTTCGTCCTTCACCTTGGCTTTGTCTCCTTCAGCATCCCCTTCAGCCTTTCTCTTGGGCACGGTGGCGACGGTGGCGGGACGTAGGCGCTGGGCGCGGGATGCAGTGGCGCGTGGGCTTTAGTCGGTCCAGGGGTCGTTCTCGTCTCTTCTTCACACTGCTCTCAAGTTTTATAAAAATATATAAAACTTGAAAAAGTGGTGAAAAAATGTACTAAAGCTAGAGTCAAGGCACCTTAGATTAAAATCTTGCCTTTGGCCAGGAGCAGTGGTTCACACCTGTAATCCCAGCACTTTGGGAGGCCGAGGCAGGTGGATCACCTGAGGTCAAGAGTTCAAGACCAGCCTGGCCAACACAGTGAAACTTCATCTCTGCTAAAAGTACGGAAATTAGCCGACCCTGGTGGTGAGCACCTGTAATCCCAGCTACTCAGGAGGCTAAGGCAGGAGAATCACTTGAACCCCGTAGGCAGAGGGTGCAGTGAACCGAGGTCGTGCCACTGCACTCCTGCTTGGGCAAGGGAGTGAGACTCTGTCTCAAACAACAACAACAACAAAAACTTTATTGCTAAAATTGCAGGCTCTGAAAATAAAAGATCTTGAACGCCCACCCCACAAGAATAAACAGACAGTTGAGACACAATTTAGTGAACAGCGAAGAACTTTATTTAAAATGAAATAAACTAGAATAGAAAAGAAAAATCACATATAAAGGTGAATCACAGTAAAGGTGAGTATTATTTTGTGAAACTTGTTTTTTTATTTTTTTTTATTTTTTGAGACTGAGTCTCGCTCTGTTGCCCAGGCTGAAGGGCAGTGGGACCATCTTGGCTCACTGCAACCTCCACCTCCCTGGGTCACGCAATTCCCCTGCCTCAGCCTCCCGAGTAGCTGGAATTACAGGCACACGCCACCATGCCTTTGTAATTTTTTGTATTTTTAGTAGAGACGGGGTTTCACCATGTTGACCAGGATGGTCTCGATCTGTTGACCTCGTGATCCACCCGCCTCGGCCTCCCAAAGTGCTGGGATTACAGGCTTGAGCCACCGCGCCCGGCCTGTAATTTTTTTTGTGTTTTAATAGAGACGGCGTTTCACCATGTTGGCTGGACTGGTCTTGAATTCCTGACCTCAGGCAATTCGCCTGCCTTGGCCTCCCAAAGTGCTGGGATTACAGGCTTGAGCCACCACGCCCAGCCAAGTTAAGCATTTTGAAATCCATTGACTTGGGCAAATTTTCTTTTCAAATATATTACTTGGCAGCATAAACTGTTCAATTTCAGCAAATGATTTTTTTAAATGTCCCCAATATTTTGTAAATACTTATATTTGACTCTAGCTCATTTGAACAATTTTTGCCAGGAAGAGAAAACAGCCCGTGGAGATCTGGCATGCTGTGTAAGGCCTAGAGAAGTGTGATCATTCTGACCCTCTATTAGCAAGAAACTGCTCAACTGTCAGGTCTTGGAAGTAAGTCAAGGCAACTGCAGGAGGTCTGCATGGCTAGAAAGAAATGGCTGAAAACAGCCTGGGCGAGCTGGCTCACACCTGTGATCCCAGCACTTTGGGAGGTGAAGGCGGGCAGATCACTTGAGGTCAGGAGTTTGAGACCAGCCTGGCCAACATGTTGAAACTTCATCTCTACTGAAAATAATAAAATTAGCCAGGCATGGTGGCAGGCGCCTGTAGTCCCAAGTATTCTGGTGTTTGAGGCCTGAGAATTGCTTGAACCTGGAAGGTGGAGGTTGCAGTGAGTCGAGATTGCCCCACTGTACTTCAGCTTGGGTGACAGAGTGAGATTCTGTCTCAAAAAAAAAAAGAAATTGCAGAAAATATATTTTCTCCCTTTCCTTTTTCACTACTGTTCTTGACTAGTTAAAAGGAAAAAAAGCCAGGTTCCGTGGCTCATGCCTATAATCCCAACGCTTTGGGAAGCCAAGGTGGGAGGTGCACTTGAGGCCAAGAGTTTGAGACTAGTCTGGGCAACATAGCGAGACCCCCATCTCTATGGGAAAAAAATTGTTGGCTGGGCACGGTGGCTCACACCTGTAATCCCAGCACTTTGGGAGGCTGAGGCAGGTGGATCACCTGAGGTCAGAAGTTCGAGACCAGCTTGGACAACGTGGTGAAACCCCGTCTCTACTAAAAATACAAAAGTTAGCTGGACGTCGTGGCGGGCGCCTATAATCCCAGCTATTTGCTGAGGCAGGAGAATCACTTGAACCCAGGAGGCAGAGGGTGCAGTGAGCCAAGATCACGCCATTGCATTCCAACCTGGGCAAGAGAGCAAGACTGTGTTTCAAAAAAAAAAAATCATAGAAAACACCTCTGTTTTCTCTTCCTCTGAAAAATAAGCTACTGTGTATAGAAACAAAAGGCATAGACTTAGCTCAAATTGCCACCCTCTCCACAGGCCATCCTTGACCATCATGTTTAAAATGACAATCCTTGCCTCTTGGAAATCCCTGTTTTTTGTTTTTTGTTTTGTTTTTTTTTTCCTGTTGAGATGGGATCTTATTCTGTTGTCCAGGCTGCGAAATGGCGCAATCACAGCTCACTGCAGCCTCCGCCTCCCTCCTCAGCCTCCCAAGTAGCTGGGACTACAGACACGTGCCACCATGTCTGGCTAATTTTTCTATTTTTAGTAAAGTCAGGGTTTCACCATGTTGCCCAGGCTGGTCTTGCACTCCTGGCCTCAAGTGATCTGCCCACCTCGGCCTTTGAAAGTGCTGGGATTACAGGCATGAGCCACCATGCCTGGCTCTTCTTTTCTCCCTAATTTTTCTTTGTGGGACTAATCATTAACCAACATGTTATTTCTTTATTTTTTTTATTATTATTTTTTAAAGATGGGGTTTCACCATATTGGTCAGACTGGTCTTGAACTCCTGACCTCAGGTGATCCACCAACCTCAGCCTCCCAAAGTGCTAGGATTACAGGCATGAGCCACCGCGCCTGGCAACATGTTATTTCTTATACTTACTTTATTTTCTGTCTCCCCTCCAGACAATGTAAGTGCCATGGAGGTAGAGAGAGGTTTTATGCTCACAGTTGTATTCCCAGTGCATGAAACCGTGCCTGTGGCCGGGTGCAGTGGCTCATGCCTGTAATCCCAGCACTTTTGGGAGGCTGGGATAGTCAAATCACTTCAGATCAGGAGTTCAAGAACAGCCTGGGCAACATTGCAAAACCCAGTCTCTACTAAAAATACAAAAAATTAGCCAAGCCTGGTGGCATGTGCCTGTAATCCCAGCTATTCCGGAGGCTGAGGCACAATAATCCTTGAACCTGGTAAGTGGAGGTTGCAGTGAACCAAGATCGTGCCACTGCACTACCAGCCTGTGTGACAGAGTGAGACTCGTCTCAAAAACAAAAAGAAAAAAAGGGCCAGGCATGGTGGTTCATGCCAGTAATCCCAGAACTTTGGGAGGCTGAGGCGGGCAGATCACGAGATCAGGAGTTCAAGACCAGTCTGCCCAATA